AGCCAGGTATTACTTACTCTTACTAGGCAACAGTAAACGCTAGTCAGGTATTAACTACTCTTAACTATGCAACAAAAAATACTAGCCAGGTATTACTTACTCTTACCTGCAACAGTAAACGCTAGTCAGGTATTAACTACTCTTAACTATGGCAACAGAACATACTAGCCAATTATTACTTACTGTTACCATGCAACAGTAAACGCTAGTCAGGTATTAACTACTCTTAACTATGCAACAAGAAATACTAGCCAGGTATCACTTACTCTTACTAGGCAACAGTAAAGGCTAGTCAGACCCGAGTTGCTATGACAACGCGGCTATCACTCATGCGAGCGCCGCACACTCGTACCTTTGAAGTCCTCGGGCGTGCGCGCGCACGGCAGCTCGACCGTGATGCCGACGACGGTCTTCGGCCAGCGGTAGTGGCCGCGGTTGGTCGCCGTCGTCGTCGCGTTGCAGTAGCGCGTATCCTCGGAGATGACGATGATGTTGAGCGAGCGCGACACGTTGCCGCGCGTCGTCTGCACCTGGCACTCCCACACGCCCGTGTGCTGCACCTGCAGACTGCGGCGAGAAACGCGCGGGCAGCCGCGTGAGTACGCTGGCTGGCACACACGCCGCGCGAGTGGGAATGAGCGAGGACTAGTGGGAACGAGCAGGAATGAACGAGAACTAGGGGGAATGAGCAGGAATGAGCGAGAACTAGGGAGAATGAGCAGGAATGAGTGAGAACTAGCGGGAATGAGCTAGAACTAGGGGAATGAGCAGGAATGAGCGAGAACTAAGGGAATGAGCGGAATGAGCGAGAACTTAGGGCGTCGCGGCGGTGGAGGACGCGCCACGACACTTCCTCGCGCGGCGTCCCGCGATCAGCAAGCACGCGGCCAACGTCGCCCTCGAGGGCTTCCGCGTGAAGCGCGCCGCCGCGTTCGGTGGCGCCACCTGCGTGTCGTACGTCGCGCCGCGCTCGCCGCATCCCTACAACGAGACGAGCTTTGCGTGCGGCGCGGGCGCGCGACTCGCCGACGACAAGGTGAGAGGGTGAGGGGTGAGGGGGTGGGGTGATAGGTGGCAGTGAGGGGTGAGTGGGAGGTGGGAGTGAGGGGATGGGATGAGGAGCGGGAATTAGAGGTGGGAGTGAGAGTCAGGGTGAGGGGTGGGATGAAGGGCTAGGGTGAGAGTGGGGATGACGGATGGGGTGGGGTGTCAGTGAGGGTGAGGGGATATGGACTGAGGGGTTGGGTTGGGAGTGAGGGAATAGGGTGAGGGGTGGGGTGAGAGGTTGGATGTGGAGTTGGGATGAAGGGTGGGAGTGATGGGGTGGCTGAGGGTTAGGGGAGGGGAGTGATGGGGTGGCTGAGGGTTAGGAGAGGGGTGAGATGGGGTGGTTGGTCACCTGGTGATGGTGAGGGTGCGAGACAAGTGTTCAGGAGTCATGCTTCGTTTAAAGTTAAAAAAAAAAACATCAAGAAAACCGCATCAAATTACAGCCGACGTTAAAGTTTAATGGCATCGGCGTAAAAACTCGAGCGTGCGATGGTACAAACGCTGATGCCTCCTGGCACGTCTTCACGCGTTTTTCACTCTGCAGGGCAGATCTGCAGACGTTAGCATAATAACGTAACAGTATAAACGTCTTCTATTCTCTACAATTCTGTGAACCTGCAAAAGCAGTCTCCATTAGCAAAGAGAGAGAGAAATTTAAATGAATCTACTACATGGCTTCCAGTCTTTATCGCTGTACATATTCGTTAGTCTAGTGTGACGTGTGTGAGAAGCATATCGACCAGCTCAAAACACAACACGCATGCACATAAAAATTTAATTACATTACTGTGTTAAAACATTGAGTGCGGCCCTTGAGTATTGAAAGATTTTCTATACATATTTCACATGGAGAGTGTATACATCTTTCTTACACGGATCATAAGATAAAGCGATCCGACACATGATACTTCATTTCGTAAAAATCCTGGAGAACAAGCCAAATAACCAAGTCCCCTCTGCAGTGCTGGTGTTTTGCTGCCGTCAGGTGGTGCAAGCATCGATCGAGCTACCGGCGACGATATTCCAAGCGGCCGGTGCGTCGGCGGCGGCGGCGGCCGGCGGCCAGTCGTTCAAGGTGCAGTTCATCGTCTACAGGAACGCGAAGCTGTTTCCGCTGACGAACACGAGTCAGCACGCGGCGGACAAGCTGGTGACGACGAGCGTCATCTCTAGCAGGATAGGTGCGCAGCACGCCGACCCGCCTGCGAAATTATTTTTCCCACTTGAGTTCCGGACCCCAATCTTTCCACAGCCAATCAGCGCACTTCATTCACTCGACTTCGCTCTTATTGAGCATATGTCATGTGTGATTTTCAATAACTCTGTATAGCCGAGCAGGTAGCGCACCGGGCGTTGGTTCGAATCCCGTATCCGGTTTTTTAATCATTTTCCTGTTTTCTGTATTTTTCTTTCTTTATTCATTTAACTATTGTTTTCCAATTAACGCAAATATTTACATGATTTATTTACAACAATTTAATTCATATATAGACATTATTATCATTAACTAATATTTGCTAAGCATTTATTAGCGCATTGCAATAAGAGCTGATAATTCTTTGAAGAGATTAAGAAGAGAAAAAGTAATTGATCTTAATAAGAAGTATTTTCAGCTCTTGCTGTCACATGGTGAGTGTAAAACAAATTTATAATTGAGCTTTTATTGCGTAGCAACAGTAATTAAGCTGCAGCTTTTCCTGGCTGGCATTTGTAAGAGATGATGACTCCAATGGGACTCCAACAACGGCAGTGTTGGTGGTGGCGGTAGTGATGATGATGATGATGATGATGATGATGATGATTATGTTGATGTTGATGATGATTATGTTGATGTTGATGATGATGATTACGATTACGATTATGACGATTGTGTTGGCAACGATGATGATAGTGGTGACCATGACAGTGGCAGCGACCGTGATGAGGACAATGACGATGACGATTTTATCTTGCACAACGTCTGTATACGCACCCAGTCTCTGTGACAACCTGTGCTTTACGCGGCAGTGCTATCTGGCGTTGGCAGGCAGGAGCAAGGCAGCGGCGAGGTACTCGTGTAACAATGACGGCCTGTGGGAGAGCCTGGACGTCGACGGCTGCCAGTACACCAGCGATGTCACCCTCATCCTAGAGACCGTCTCCAAGGTACGCTACAGATTTAACTTAAGCACTAATAAATTTAATTAAATAAAAAATCATAATTTTAACTAAATTGTTGTAAATAAATCATGTAAATATTTGCGTTAATTGGAAAACAATAGTAAAATGGATAAAGATAGAAAAATACAGAAAAAACAGGAAAATAATTAAAAAACGTACTGGGACGGATTCGAACCAACGACCGTTGAGAGCGTAACGCCGGCGCGCTACCTGCTCGGCTAATACAGAGTTATTGAAAATCACACATGACATATGCTAATAAGAGCGAAGTCGAGTGAAATGAAGTGCGCTGATTGGCTGTGGAAAGATTGGAGTCCGAACTCAAGTGGGAAAATAATTTCGCAGGCGGCCGGCCGTGCTGCGGGCACCTATCCTGCTAGAGATGACGCTCGTCGTCACCAGCTTGTCCGCCGCGTGCTGACTCGTGTTCGTCAGAGGAAACAGCTTCGCGTTCCTGTAGACGATGAACTGCACCTTGAACGGACTGCCGCCGGCCGCCGCGCCGCCGCCGCACCGGCCGCTTGAATATCGTCGCCGGTAGCTCGATCGATGCTTGCACGCACCTGACGCAGCAAAACACCAGCACTGCAGAGGGGACTTGGTTATTGGCTTGTTCTGCGCAGGATTTTTACGAAATGAAGTATCATGTGTCGGATCGCTTTATCTTATGATCCGTGTAAGAAAGATGTATACACTCTCCATGTGAAATATGTATAGAAAATCTTTCAATACTCAAGGGCCGCACTCAATGTTTTAACCCAGTAATGTAATTAATTTTTATGTGCATGCGTGTTGTGTTTTGAGCTGGTCGATATGCTTCTCACACACGTCACACTAGACTAACGAATATTCAGGCGATAAAGACTGGAAGCCATGTGGTAGATTCATTTAAATTTCTCTCTCTCTTTGCTAATGAGGCTGCTTTTTTGAGGTTCACAGAATTGTAGGCGAATAGAAGACGTTTATACTGTTACGTTATTATGCCTAACGTCTGCAGATCTGCCCTGCAGAGTGAAAAACGCGTGAAGACGTGCCAGGAGGCATCAGCGTTTGTACCATCGCACGGCTCGAGTTTTTAACGCCGATGCATTAAACTTTAACGTCGGCTGTAATTTGATGCGGTTTTCTTGATGTTTTTTTTTTTAAACTTTAAACGAAGCATGACTCCTGAACACTTGTCTCGCACCCCTCACCATCACACAGGTGACCAACCACCCCATCTCACCCCTTCCCCTAACCCTCAGCCACGCCCATCACTCCCCCCCTAACGCATCAGCCACCCCATCACTCCACCCTTCATCCAACTCCACATCCAACCCCTCACTCTCCACCCTCACACTATTCCCTCACTCACCGACTCCCACCCCAACCCCTCCAGCCCATCCCCTCACCCTCACTGACACCCCTCCCATCCCTCATCCCCACTTTCACCCTAGCCCTTCATCACCCACCCCCTCACCCTGACTCTCACCCCACCCTCACTCCCACCTCTAATTCCCGCTCCTCATCCCATCCCCTCACGCCCACCTCCCCACTCACCTCTCACACTCCACCCCTCACCTCCACTCCTCACCCCACCCCTCACTGCCACCTATCACCACCCCCCTCACCCCTCACCCTCTCACCTTTGTCCGTCGGCTAGTCCGCGCGCCCGCGGCGCCGCACGCAAAGCTCGTCTCGTTGTAGGGATGCGGCGGCGACGCCGCGCGACGCTACGACACGCAGGTGGCGCCACCGAAACGCGGCGGAGCCGCCTTCACGGCGAACCTCGAGGGCGACGTTGGCCGCGGCCTGCTTGCTGATCGCGGGGACGCCGCGCGAGGAAGTGTCGTGGCGCGTCCTCCACCGCCGCGACGAGCCTGTGGAAGGGAGAGAGACAATGAGACACCGCGCCATCACGAGCTTGCGGAGGGAGGAGAGAGAGGTGAGACACCGCTGCGCCGTGACGAGCTGGTGGAGGGAGGAGAGAGTGAGACACCGCACCCGTCATGAGCCTGTGGAGAGAGGAGAGAGTGCGACACCGTGCGCGTGACGAGCGCAGTGAGGAGGAGAGAGTGAGACACCGTGCCGTGACGAGCCTGTGGAGGGGAGAGAGAGTGAGACACCGTGCCGTGACGAGCCTGTGGAGGGGAGAGAGTGAGACCACCGTGCCGTCAGCGAGCCTGCGGAGGGAGGAGAGAGAGGAGAGACACCGTGCCCGGCAACGAGCCTGCAGAGGGAGAGAGAGAAGGTAGAGACACCGTGCCGGCACGAGCCCTGCGGAGGAGGAGAGAGAGTAAGACCACCACGCCGTCACGAGCCTGCGGAGGAGGAGAGAGAGGAGAGACCACGTGGCCGGCACGCAGCCTGCGGAGGGAGGAGAGAGTAAGACACCATGCCGTCACGCAGGGCGGAGGAGAAGAGAGAAGTGAGACACCGTGTTGCACAAGCCTGCGGAGGAAGGAGAGAGAGTGAGACAGCCGGCGCCATCACAAGCCTGCGGAGGGAGAGAGAGTGAGAACCCGTGCCGTCACAAGCCTGCAGAGGGAGGAGAGAGTGAGACACCGTGTTGCCACGAGCCTGTGGAGGGGAGAGAGAGAGGAGACAGTGAGACACCGCGCTGCGACGAGGCTGCCAGGGGGGGAGAGAGAAAAAGTGTTTGTTAGTCTTGCTGATGGAAAGACCATGAGAGTGCACAGAAAGACACAGAGATTGTTCTCCTTGCTGATGTGTTGACTGTGAGACGTGCAATTAGCAGTTTTACCTGGTACATGACATGTCCAGTAGCTGGGCGGCGGTTAGCTGTAGCCTTACCTGGTGCAGGACGTGTCCAGCAGCAGCCTTACCTGGTACAGGACGTGTCCAGCAGCTGGGCGGCGGTCAGCAGCAGCCTTACCTGGTACAGGACGTGTCCAGCAGCAGCCTTACCTGGTACAGGACGTGTCCAGCAGCTGGGCGGCGGTCAGCAGCAGCCTTACCTGGTACAGGACGTGTCCAGCAGCTGGCAGCGGCGAGCAGCAGCCTTACCTGGTACAGGACGTGTCCAGCAGCTGGGCGGCGGCGAGCAGCGCGGCGTCGACGTCCATGAGGCGGCTGACGATGTCTACAAGCACAGAGCGCGACCTCGGGATGCTGGCGCGTGTAGGCGGCGAGGTTGGCGACCGTGCGCGCCGCGTAGACGACGTCCATCGCGTCACGGATCGCACGCGTGTTCGCGAGGTATCGCGCAGCTTCGTCGCGCTCGACACGACGTTCGTGCTGTTCAGGTTCGTCTGCGAGAACAACGTGAACAGTGTGAACGTGTGAATGAACAACGATCATCTCGTGAACATGTGAAGGAACAATTCCATATGCCTTGACATCACGTTGTGCTGTTCAGGTTTTGTCTGCGAGAACAATGATCATCGCATGAACATGTGAAGGAACAACTCTAGATAATGCATGAGGAAGGTCTATACCCACCAGGTAGTGTATGATTCTATACACCTGCCAGGTAATGTGTAAGGTTTTACACCTGCCAGGTAATATGTGAGGTTTCACACCTGTCAGGTAATATGTGAGGTTTTACACCTGTCAGGTAATATGTGAGGTTTCACACCTGCCAGGTAATATGTAAGGTTTCACACCTGCCAGGTAATGTGTGAGGTTTTACACCTGCCAGGTAATGTGTGAGGTTTTACACCTGCCAGGTAATGTGTGAGGTTTTACACCTGCCAGGTAATATGTGAGGTTTTACACCTGCCAGGTAATGTGTGAGGTTTCACACCTGCCAGGTAATGTGTGAGGTTTCACACCTGCCAGGTAATGTGTGAGGTTTTACACCCTGCCAGGTAATGTGTG